TGTTCATGCTATCATTAAAAAGATAAAATAGCTGAGCTGAATTAACCCATTTAGGAATGTATGTCTTCCCAAGGGGAACTACAAAGTTAATGCTCATAAGCCGACCTCTCTGCCCCCATATAATTAGACTGGGGTTCAGATAACATGTTATTGCATTTATCAGTGAACTACATGGCATTAAAAAATCCAATTGCCCACTAGATAGCCAAAGAATGAGCTTTTTAGGGCAAATAACCTGTTTTGTAGTAAAAATTCTTGCACGTAAAAGACAGTGGTTTTAAATCCCAGCTCTATAGTTTACTATAAAATCAAAAATTCATTTCACACACACATACACACAAAATAAGTAATATATTAATAAGTATAAAGTGTTTCTACATATAAAATGCTTGGCACATAGCAAATGTTCCAAGTGTGTTAGCATTTGTCATTATAGGGATGTTTGTGTGACTATTGTTGCAAATGTTTCTTAAACATTACTTATGAGTCTTTTGGTTAAATCTTTTTAAAAAGAATAAGAGACCTTTCTTTGATCTCACCAATTATGCTACAAAGTGGGTCATCACCTCCTGTGAAAACACTGTAGTTTTTGTAAATTTTTTTTTTGTTAGTTTTCTTGGGGAAACAGAAGGTCCTGAATGACTCCTGCCTTGGGGTTACCCTGTAACAGTTCCACCTCACAAGATGTCTAGTATCAAATAGTATTTTTGTCAACTGTTTAATTGATGTTGTAATAGTTTTAAACAGATAGTGCAAGGAAAGTGAAAATGAACTTGGTGATCCCCAAAGGGAGAACTTGGGAGTGAAAGTGGGTGGTGGGTGGCAGGTGGTGGGTGGTTGGTAAAATTTGGGGAAAGTCTGTTATCTATGACAACACAGATAACCAGAAACTTGTGTACAGGATTTTAATGGATGCCCTTTTGTATTGTACTGGATCTCACTAAGCAATGTCATCTTTATATGATGAATCATAGAGATTCATCAATGGTACCAAATGTACCACTCTGGAAGGGGGTAGTGATAACTGGGGAGGCTACGCATATGTTATGGGGTATATGGGAAATCTCTGAACACTTCTTAGTTTTGCTGTGAACTTAAAACTGCTCTAAAAGTCTTTAAAAAAAAAAAAGAAAACAAGCATAAAGAGAGGCAAAATGGAAGAGGTAAGGAAAAATAAGAATTTTGCCAAGGAGTTATCCTTTTGTTTATCTGTATAGTATTATGGAGTGAAAATAGCCAAGGCCAGAACAGGTGACTTGTCAAGTCCTGCCTACTTTCAGCAGACTACTTCACCTTTCTGGATCTCAAATTTACAAAGAATAGTAGTGTTGAGGTTTTGGGCATAAACTTCTCATCATTTCAGAGTAAGTTGAGGTCTGGGATATGAGAATGAAGAAGGCCTGAAGAAAAATAGTCTTAGAAAGAAAAAGATCATGAGGTGATGTTGTGAATACAGCAGAGGATCAACAATATAATCACCCAGGCATAACTGAGTAGTTTAAATAATGGATCGTGTTCATTTATTTTACTGAATGATAATACTGGGGAAGATGATGTGAATGATTTTGATTTGTTCTTTTGACTTGTTCTTGGGGTCCCTCTTCTCCTTCTATTGATATTAACCACCATCCTCCAGGAGTGATTTGGGGGTAGTTGAAACTAACTGGCCTGTGTTGAGGAGTTACTGTACTACTCACATCATCTTGTTGCCCAACACTGTTTTTAATTTTGGTGAATGAGAAAATACTTGGTTGCCATTTCCTTTCTGAGAACTGCTGAGTTAGTAGGGAAGGAAGTAGAAGCTGCTCAGCTGAGTTTAGGCCTGTGGGGGCAGCAGGCCTGTACTGCTCTGAGCACTAGCTTCTGTTTTTGTGGGGATTGGTTTCCTAAGTATCTGGTTCTTCTTTATAAAGATTAAAAAATAGAGCCTCCCTGGTGGTGCAAGGGTTAAGATGGGGCTGTCCACAGTCACTGTAGCACAAGTTCGATCCCTGGCCAGGGAGCTACCCACATTGCACAGCAGACCTCTCCTGACTCTCCCGCTGCTCCCCTCAGCAGTGTATTTCAGTGGATCTGCCTGTTCTGTTTCCCATTCTGTCTCTGGTGAGTCTTCTCACCCTCCACACCTCTGGCCTGTACCCCAGTTCTTGTGTGCATAAATAAATAAATCTTTAAAAACAAAATGAAAACATTCCTTTAGAAAAAAATAAAAAATATTAGTCTGTGCAGCCATTTCTTAGCCCCTTCCTGGGAAAAATGACCAAGGTGGCAGGTAGTGGTTTATTTTGTCTAAATTCTTGGTCACAACTCTGCTAAGTGTTGTTAGTGGATTTCCTGTCCATAGTTCATCTTTTAAAGATCTTGCCAAACCTGGGCCTCCCCGGTGGCACAGTGGTTGAGTGCTGGGTTGCTAAGCTGCCTGCAGCCTCTGCAGTGCCGGTTTGATCCCCGGCCACCGGGTGAGGGTCCCACGTGGTGTGCAGACCTCTCCTGCCGCCTGCTGCTCCCTTCAGCTGTGTACATCCTCAGTCTGCCTGTTCTGTTCTCCACTCTGGCTCTGATGAATTCTCTCACCCTCCCGCGCTTCTGACCGTACCCAGTGCTTGTATAAACAAACAAACAAATAAATAAATCTTAAAAAAAAAAAAAAAGAAAGCAAGCTTGACTCTCTTGCTGGGATCATTTTGAAACTGTTTTCTCGGTTTGTATTATATCTCTGCTGCTTATTTGCAGATGTTGGGAAGTGGTGCTTGATCTAAAAATATTCAGAAAGAATTGAGGAAAAATTAGGGCTTCTGCCATGCAAATTCTCAGACTCTCTTCTCAGCATTTCTATTATCATCACAAAGAGTTAATTACATGATTCTTTAAAGCCCTACCCATATATTTTGCTAATACTTTATTTACATCTTTAGTTTGTTTTTGACTCATAATTCCACCACTGAATTTGAGTCTAAAAATTACCTTTAGGCTGAAGGACTCAGGGGTAAAGATTGCCAAGATTCAAAATCCAGTTTGGTCATTTTTTAGCTATGTGGCCTCTGCTGTTTCTTTATTTGTAAAATGGGTTTAGAATTAACAGTCACACATAAGATGGATTAAAGAAGCAAGTAATCACTGCTTAAGTTGTTATTTGTTATACTTTTCTTTAATAATAGGAAATAGGCAAGGGGAAATATTTATTGAGAATCTACTATTTACGAGGCACAAAATGGACTACCAGCAATCCCATGTAATCTTCTGTGAGGCAGACATCCTCATTTTTCAGATGATTCAGTTTTTTTGTTTTTTTTTTTCAGATGATTCAGTTTTGACTGGAAAGAATAACCAACTGTCCTAAAGGTCACACAGCTGGTAAATAATAGTCCAAGTCCAAGTTTGTTTCTAAAGCACATACCCTTTCACTACACAATGTAAAAAACACTTTTTTCCCCCAGATTATAATGTCTCACGGTTTCCTACTGTTAAACTATTTTTTTTGGGGGGGAGGGGGATGTATAAAAATAAGTGTATGCCTTGATAACTCAGGAAAAGACACGGTGGAAACTTAAATATATATACTTTGATGTGATAGAAGCCAATCTGAAAAGGCTCCATGCCAACCATTTGACATTCTGGAAAGGTCAAAACTATGGGAACAGTTAAAAGAAAGAGCAGTGGTCGGGGCTTAAGGGGGAGGGAATGATGAATAGGTGGAACGTAGATTTTAAGGGCAGCAAAGTACTCTGTATGATACTGTAATGTTGAACATAGTTGTCCAAACCCAGAAAACACACAACACCGAGAGAATCCTAAGGTAAACTAATGTGTTAATATAGATTCATGGACGCTATCACTGCCGCACTACCCTCTGGAAGGGGGTAGTGATAACTGGGGAGCTACGCATATGTAAGGGGTATATGGGAAATGTCTGTACACTCTTCTTAGTTTTGCTGTGAACCTAAACCTGCTCTACAAGTCTTTTAAAAAAAGAAAACAAGCACAGAGAAAAAGCAAAATGGGAGAAAGGTAAGGAAAAATAAAATTTTGCAAAGGAGCCACCCTCTTGTTTCTCTGCATAGTATTATGGAGTGAAAACAGCCAAGGCCAGATCAGGTGACTTGTCAAGTCCTGCCTGCGCACAAGTTGCTGGGTGACCTTCAGCAGACCACCTCACTTTTTTGCACCTCAAATTTAAATATGCTTAAAAAGAGGCGATTGAATTGTTCTTCCAGCTCCTTCTGGTATTAACATTCCAGCCTTGCAGCTAAGACCCCACCCCTGCGTCTCACCCGACCAGTCACCATCACTTGACCCCTCTTCTTACTCAACTCAACACTTTTTAAAGTACCCACCAGAGTCCAAATACAGAATCGCTCCTCGTGATCACGGGACTAGAGTAGGGGTGGACGACTGACCTCTGAGGGCGAAAAAAAAAGGGCAAGATAACCCTGAAGCTCAAAAGTAAGCGGCAGAAGCCAGCCAAAGCAGACCCACGCGGGGCAAAGCGGACGCAGCGAAAAGCTACGAAGGCGGAAGAGGGCGGAGGGCGGAAGAGGGCGGAGGACGGGGCGGGGCCGAGAGCCGATTGGACGGCTGGGGGGCGGGGCCGCGCTGACAGCTGTGGAGATGCGACGGAGGCTGCGCGGGCGTCGCGGTCCGGTTCCGGCTCCTTGGCTTCCCCTCCCCAGCGCCTGGGGGCGGGGCGGCGGGCGTGCCGACGCTACGTGATGTCACAAGGGGCGGGGCGAGCGAGACGTCCAACCGGCGCGCGGGCGCCTTCGGCAGTCGCTGTTTGGGACGCAGGGTGCGTGGTCGCTCGGTCTCCGCTCCCGGTTCGCTGTCACCGCCTGTCTCTTCCCGGAGCCCGGGACGGGCTGGGCGCGCGCCCATGTGTGTGTGAGCGGGGCGGAGGCGTCCCCTCGCTTGCATTTTTTCTTTCTTTTACCCAAAGAAGGGAGCAGTTCGCACGCTTGTCGCCCCGTCGGGAGCGGGGTTGGTGTGCGGAGTGGTTTGTCTTTTTTTTTTTTTTTTTTCCCCTTTTAAACTTGTGGGCGCTGTTTTTTGACCCCCCACCCCCTCTTTTTAGGCTCAGTGCCGTCGGGGCTGGTTTTCTCGGTCCCTGACTAGCCGCGTTCTGCCCCTTCTCTCGCCACCCCCGTCCAAGGTCGCGCCCCCGCCCTCGCCCCTAGCCCGGGGGTGGGAAGCCTTGTCCCGCTCCCTGCCCACCCGCGTCTCCGCGGCCGGAGCCGCACCTGCCTCACAATGAATGGGGTCAACGACCCACCTCTTTTTATAAAAGATATTAAGCCCGGACTGAAAAACTTAAATGTCGTCTTTATTGTCTTGGAGATAGGTAAGTGGGGTCCGCAGCCCACCCCGCCGCGCCCGGGCGTCCGGGGGCCAGGGGAGCAGGGCGCCGCCGCGAGCCGGGGGCCGCCCTCTCCCTCCGCCCCCCTTCCTCTCCCCCTCCCTTCCACGTGGCCGTGGTGGCCCCCGCCAGAGCTCCGGTCCTGGCAGCGGTGAGAATCTGGGGCGACCACTTTCCACCTCGAACTCGATGTAGGATCCCTGAGGAAGAGTTGGCAAACCTTTCTGGAGGGCCTCATTAGCTAATGTACTCCCTTCCCCCTTTTGATTTTTTAAATCCCCACAGGACGCGTGACCAAAACCAAAGACGGCCATGAAGTGAGATCATGCAAAGTAGCAGATAAAACGGGCAGCATCACTATTTCCGTGTGGGATGAAATCGGAGGTCTTATACAGCCAGGGGATATTATTCGGTTGACCAGAGGGTAGGTGTGCATACAAGCGGGGTGGGGTGGGGGGAGAAGGGGGGAGGGAAATGCTTCCTAAGGAGCAGTTTGTTGGTTCGGAATGGGCCCACTTGGGATCTTGGTGACTTGGGAAGTTTCGTGTCTTTTCTGTGGGCCTTTGCAAGGAAGTTTGAGCCCTTAGGTACAGACTTTGGATAGTGGGCCGCCTTGTGATGTAACACCCTTGGCTTTAAAAGTAGTCACTGCCATTCAGGAGTATTAACACCATCCCATTACCTCCACTTTACAAATTTAGTTATGTTTTAAAATAAGGTCCTGGGATTAAAGTGAATGGATAGGATTAATAGAGTCAATCCTTTATCTTTTGAATAAGTCATTTAATTTAATATAGTTGTCACTTAGTTCTTTTCCAGCCCTCCTCTCCTTAATACTGGAAATCCTACCCAGTGTGTTATTTGTATTTATTTTATTTACAGAAGATTTAGTTGGAGAACTTGGCAGTTTCTGTGGTATGTCAAATTTATACTGGGATGTTAAAAGAGGGGAAAGTTAAAATATTTTGGAAGGCACATTCTTGAAAGTGATTTCTTGTGCCTACTGCTCCAAGGTCAGCCTTGTACAAAAACCAGAATGATATGCAGAAAATGTTTGGCAGAAAGACATCTGTGATAGCTCCCTGTGAAGAGTCAGTTGGCAGATTGACTTAAAAATAATTCAGCACAACCTTCTTTTGGTTGTTAATTAGACTGCCTGGAAAAATTGCCAAATCTATATCTTAGGAAGATAAAAGGCCAGAGAAGGGTCTTGAAAATATTTTGGAAGCCTTTTTGTTATCAGAATTGTAAACTTAATGGTCATAACTACAGGAAAAGTGGGTGGAGATTGGTGTTAGCATAGTAAATAGAATTTTAGAGAATTGTTGGATGACCCTGCATATCGGAGCTCAAAGCCCATTGGTAGTATCTTATAGGCCTTACAACATCTTCAGGAAGTGAGGCAGAGAGTATCATCAAAGAAGGAAGTGAGAGTCAGCAGGACTTAGACCTTTTTTTCTCTTAACTGACTCACTGTGACATTGTGTCTTTTAAATATATCTTGAATTTCTACAAAAGAGCATTTCTGCTGGGAAGGTGTGAAGATTAGGGTAAGGTTTTGGGCTGTCAAACGTTTTATTCAGTGAGTAAAAGTATTTTGACATTGTAAGCAGTAGCTCATTTCAGATACTTCTATCTTGTAGTCATAGAAAATTCATATATATGTCCATCAAATTGTGAAAATTCAATTCAAAAACCATGTAATGCCTAGGGGATCTTAAGGAATACAGTTACCAAAGGGGACAATTTAAGGGAATATTTAAAAAAGCAAAAGCTCTTTCCTAATTTCAATGAGTTATTACACTTTAATTCTGTAAAATGGGAATGATTATACATTTTTTACACATCCATTGGCATCCAGCCATTGTAAGCCCCTTAAATTCTGGTTGACTCTAAAAAAAGTAACTTTAGGAGAAAGGCATATAATCTGAATAATGGTAATCTGAATATTGACATGTTTTATCAGAAAAAAACAAATCTCATTTCTGAAACAAGTGAAAGGTACATCTTTTATTGTAATTGTTATATCATTAATAGTTACTGTAGTAAAATGAAATATTCATGCAGTGTCTTCTAAGTCACTTTTTGTATAACAGGAGTTTTTAATAAATAACTCTTACTAAATGAAGAGAAATGCGTAATGTGAAACTGGCAAGTTTTTGTTGACCTACATTAAGTGAACTACAAGTATACTTGTTCTACATTGTTTTTTGTAATGGTGTTATCTGCATTCAAAACTATTCAGAGTAAACAGTTTTTCAACTAACTTGGTGCTTAAAAATTGCAAATTTGAAAAGACAGATAGGTGAAATTTTTTTTTAAATCCGTTAATTGAATTTTACCAAATTTAGCTTGGGAACCCTATGCTTTTTATGGCTATAGAGGAAAAATTAACATCAGTTTCTGACTAGAGTAAGTGAGTCCAAAAGTAAGTAGTAGGGTATTGATTTTATATATCTTATGATTGAAAAATAATTTGTACTTGAATCTCTGTAGTTGAAATTTTTTCCTTTGTTAATTGACAAGCCATAGATTCTTTGGAGTATAGCAATGCTGGCTAGCTTTGTAAAAAGACTTTTTCTGTTTTGTAGGGCTATAATTAAGATAATTGTCAAGATTTGGAAGATTTTGTTTTTCTTGAGTAAAAAGTTAAATTTATTGTATTTGATATACTATGATAGACAGTGGATTTGATTCCCACCTGTGCCCCAATGCAAAAAATGAAAAGATTTACTTGATTGAAGTAGGAAAAAAGGTATATATTTCTATAGGACTCATGTTTCTTTTTTCCTAGGTATGCATCTATGTGGAAAGGATGTCTGACACTTTATACTGGAAGAGGTGGTGAACTTCAGAAAATTGGGGAGTAAGTATTAAAATGTATTTAATATAATTGAATAAGTCACAAGTGCTATCTGAGAATGCAGGTAGGTATAAACTGAATGTCTTGGTTTTATTTTTTTGTGCTGGTAAACTGAAAGTCTTCAACAGCTTAACTGTAAAAATAACTTTGTATGTTTGTGTTATTTACAGCTCTCAAAACTGTTTCCTTTGGTTGAGAATGTTATTTTTTCCCTGGCAAAAAACATTAAGGCTGCTGTTGAGATAAGCCCCAGTGGGACCATTTCTGTAGGCTTTGGGAATGTGGCATCTTTCAGGTGTCACAAGTGCCCTTTGAAGTAGGTTCTGCCTTCCAGTGAATTGCCAAATTAGAAGCTAGGTTCCATTTCAGGTCATATGTGGATATATACTCATGGTAAAAGGACTTAAAGCAGTGAAAATTGAAGTCCTGTACTTACCCACAGTCTAGGTACTAAACTGGCACCTGCAGTGCGCGTTTCCATATACTACCACCCTGGTAATCTCTACCTTGACTTGGAGAAATCATCCTTTAGGGGTGTAAAGGTAACTCAACCTCTATGCTAGCCTAAACACTTGAGATGTATTCATAAAGTGTGGTTTAGGCAATGAACCAAGCAGTTTGTCCATTCTCTTTTGTTAGTGCTTAAACATCTATTTTAATGCCCATCAAACTGGAAGATATTTAAAGAGAGAGGTCTAGGGGTGAGTGTGGTACTGGGTATATTTGTATTTTTCCTTATATAATACTGTGGAAAAAATAAGCACTCTTGCTACCTTTTAAAGATAACTGGTAGCACTTTGCCTTCACTAGGAGAACAGCTGGGATGTTTGTATTTAGAATAGTATCAATGAGCAACATGTGATGAAAGATTCTTAGCATCAATAATCATCAGGTTACGATCCTGATAATTCTAATAATTCTGATACTTAAAAAGAAGTGTTAATAAAAATGGTGGCCAGTTACATGAAGAACCACAGAAGGTTATCTAGTTCTCCATGAGTTAATTTTGTCAGGGTCAGTCTAGGATTTACCAAAATTGGTTCTCATTTCTTACTTGTGAGGTAAGGGCTTTAAGAAAATGTTTAAGTGTAATGTAATATACACCAGTCAACTTAAAGAAGCAGTGGGATGAATTGTATTGATCGCCAGTTGTCTTGCAGAATTACTCAACTTTAAATGATTATCTTTGCAGATTCACAATGATTGGTCAAAAGAGGGACTGGATGAAAATGTGGGAATGGGTCAGTGCAAATCCATCACCACTGCTGGAAAAACCACTGTGGAACCCTAAACATGGTTCAGTGGCATCAACCTATATGGGAAAATAGGACAAAAATGTGTTTCTATGTCCTTGATCTTTGAAATGGTTTCTTTTTGCAGGACACCAGAATTAAAATACAAAGTAGAATATCTTATACATTATAGGCCATCAGATATTTGATTTTTTTTGTGGACTATAATCATTTAGGAAGTTACAGTAAATAAATAGCATGTTACTTTTTAAGTTCATTCGACATCTAAATTCTTCATTTCTGTAAGTTATGAATGTTGTATTTAAAAAGTGGGAGTCGATTGGTTTGTTTCAAAAGTCATTTAACTTGTTCTTTACTTTCAGGTTTTGTATGGTTTATTCAGAAGTGCCAAATTTTAGTGAACCCAATCCAGATTATCGAGGACAACAGAACAAAGGGGTAATTAATCCAAATGTATAGCCTATTTTTATGATTAGTGTAATTTTGACTGTATTATAATTTTATGGCTAAATTGCCAACCCTGTGATACCCAGAAAATATGAAAACAATTTAAAAGTCTTTCAGAAGTCACTGTCACTTTATTTCTTAAGAATCTACATATCTCTTAATATCATATATTACATATATGTACCATTTAGCACTTCCAAGGAATTGGAAATAATATCAAGAAATAGATATAATGAGCCTTGAAAAGCTTGGGAAACATTCCTGAATATTTTAATGTTGAAAGGACTTGGATAAATCTTTATAAAGTTGTATTAAAAATGGCTACAAAATGTTAATATAATATAAATGTGTTTTTTTTTTAAAAAATCTTTGATTACATTAAAAAAATTTTTTTTAGGCACACAGTGAACAGAAGAATAATTCCATGAATAGCAATATGGGTACAGGTACATTTGGACCAGTGGGTAAGATTTTTTTCCCATATTTGTGATCAGGTATAAGATAAGGGAATATATCCTAATGGAAGACTTTGAGGAAAATTTTTGTGTTTAGGTATAAAATTATTACTAAATGGTATTGCATTTCTGTAATGTAGTGTTTATAATAGATGCAGATTTATTACTTATTTAATGCACTAAAGCCGTTTAGTTTTAGATCTTTAGTTTTTTAGATGTTTAGTTCACCTTAATTTCCACATGCTAATAACTGCGTTTTAAAAGGATAGCCTTTACTCCTTAAAAATCCTCAAATAGTATGTTAATGGTCTTTGCCACCATGTTAGTCTTTTGTGATGGAAGTTTATTAGGGTAGCTGAAGCTTTATTTGCCTGAGGCTACATGTTTTGGCTTGATCTGATGATCATTATATTTGGGGATACTTTGCTATCTTTTCCGTAAAGTTAGAATTACATTATCTTGAAACATTCAACATATATGAGCCAAATGTCAGTGCTCATACATTATTTCCACTCCCCACCCTTCTTCCTTTAAAATGTAGACAGTGTGTCACCTATGCTTTGTTTCTACTCTACTACTTTCTAAGTTGTTGCCCAAGTTGTTCCCTTTTACCTACCGAGACAGCATCAAGTTAATACATTCATACTCTCACACATTTGGTAAAACCTAGAACCCACACAGTTTTTCTAGTAGTTTAAAAATAAAGGCAAGGCATTTGTTTTCTCTGACATTACTTGAAAGCATTAGTAGCATTGTTACAACTTTAAGTGGGTGTACTTTCATAGATCAGTGTCTGAAAATAGTGATAAATTTTTATATTCTTTTTTAGGAAATGGGGTGCAGACTGGCCCAGAATCAAGGGGATGCCAATATTCATATGCTGGTAGAAGCAGTGGCCGGGGATCTGTAAATCCACAGTTACCAGGAACAGCTAATAATCAGACAGTCATGACCACAATAAGTAATGGCAGGGACCCTCGGAGAGCCTTTAAAAGATGACCTATGCCAAATACTCACATGTAGTTTTTAAACTACGTGACTTACTTGAACACTTATCGCACTTTTATTTATTGTTAACTGTGAAAACTATGTCCATTATTGATTTTCTTTTATGTTTTTGGTTTGTTAAGAGGAGTGGTTTGTTTTTATAGCAAAATTGTAAAGCTGCTCAAGTCTTCTATTGAAGAATGGGAACACTCTGAAAAGTGGGGGCATTTATTTTTAGAGGAAAGAGCTCTTTGGATATCCTCTAAAATACCTGTACCCGTTTCATGGGTCAGTTACTTAAGACATCAACATTTTAGCCTCTGTGAGTCTATCTTCTGTATAAATTTTGTAATACTTAAAATAAGGCTTAGTGGGAGATGTTCTTTTCTTGAGATATTGCCGACAAAAGCAATAACCACCAAGGGGGGTGGGGGGGAACACCCCAATCTTGCTCAGTGCTAACAGCAATTTTTTTTGAGTGTTTGTGACTCTGGGAATGATTGTCATCTTTGTTGAGTAACTGCCATTAGGAATTTTCAAGGACTGAATAAATCATTCTAAACTTACTACCAAAAAACAAATACCAGAAGAATTATGGAATAGAATGTGATCTTTATTGTAACATAATTTTAGGGGAAAACTACATTTATTTTAAGGTAGTGCTCTTAACATTTGTTGTCAATTTGTGCATTACATTTAAATGAAGCGAAGAAAAATTTGAAACTGAGGCCTTGAATATTTAGTTTTTGAAACTACCATGTCAAAAATAAAGTATCAGTATCTTAAGGGTGGCATAAAGTCTTAATAAAAATGATTTAATTATTTAAAGAAATTATAGTAGATAAACACAGTAAAGAAATTATGTAGTTAATATACAGTCTTAAGTTATAGGGTCTTAGGTACTTATAGATACTCAGCCTGGAGTATGACAATCCTAGGTACTTCATTTTGTAGTGTGTGATGTCAGAGTTTCTGAACACAATTCACGAAGCCTTATCAGCAAAACTTAAGAAATGGCTCTCTCAAAGAAGTGAATACAGCTTTATTCAGATAGGTAAAGGTAGTTTATGTGTTGTAAATAATCCCCAGTTCCGCTTTTTACTGTAAGGTGGATAACTGGTAAATTATTTTCTTTGTTAAAAATTCAATACTTCAATATTATCTCTTGAATAAAACTTGGCATTGTTACAGATCTACCTAATTTTGCGCCTTTTATGGCTTACTCAGGAGAGCCAGTTTATTTTGCTATAGTTATGATGATGACTTCAACCTGGCAACTATCTAGCTCTGTATTTGTCACTTTCTTTATCCCCCACCTTAAATCACAAAGTAATTTAAGTAGACTTTGTTTTCTGAAAATTCAGAGAATTTGTATGTAAAGACTTGTGCTGGATTATTTGTTTGCTCTAAATCAGTGTATCAATAGAACAGTTCAACTATAAATTAGGCACTTGTAGAGAGTGTTAAGGGGTAGATGGAATAATGATTGACTGACATCAGGGAGCTTGCTTACAGTCTACAGTACCTTCATCGCTGGGGTTTGTATATTACAGAACAATATTTTCTTTATTAGTTTATTGAATACAGTTAATTTGACTTTGTAATGAATATTTTCTTAAGGTTTTCACAAGATTACAGCTTTTGGAGTAAAAAAAATTAGTGTGTGTACATATTACACACTTAATTGTATATGTGTGTGTATATATATATACACACTTAAATCTTAAGTTGAGGTCGCAGCTACAACATTAAGTTATTTGGGAGAATATAGTGTTGAAGATTTTCAAGAAAACAATTTTGGAGTTTTGGAAACTTAAAATATTGTCAAGTATGTATTTCTGATCTTTGAATCTTGGCCTCATTATGTCCTCACCTGGAATGTTGGGCAAGTTACTACAGTTGAAACTTTTCTAAGCCTTAGGTTTCACAATTATAAGACAAGTAAGTAATATAACCTCTTTGTAGAGTTACTTAAGATCTTCCATGTAAGTGATCAGATTTCTGGCATGTTATAAACAGACAAATGTTTATTGTCTAATTATACAAGAAAAGAAAATGGCAGTGTTAGTATTGGAAATATTGTTACCCTTTAACAGTGAGAAAGTAGAGAAAGACATTTTACTTATGTAATTGATTACTTGCCTAAATAATTTAACTTTGTTGTTCTGTGTTCTTTGTCATTTATTAACAGATTTCTTTTTTCTTAAGGGAAGTCTCCAAAACCAAAGCAAAATGAGTTACAATCCATAGTGAATATTTGCCTTTCCAGTCTGCTTGGACAGTACTCATCAAGAAGTTAAGAGGAAGAAAGTTTCCTACCTTCCTCCTTCCTGGTGCTTTCAGCTGTCAACTTTGAAATAAGTTTATAAACACCTACAGCAAACAAAAGCCATTTAGTATAGAAATACACATACTACGATCGGGCCCCATTTCATTTCTACAAAGCGGTTTTGAAGTGAATTAAAGTTTAATCAATGAGCTTGCCCTCCTGTATGGGCGGGTTCTTGGGGAGTTGCTGCTGTACCAAAATGGAGAGATGAAATCCATAAGGCCAGATGATGATATGTTACAGTGAAGACTGCAGTATGTTTCCCATAAGCATTTAAACAGGTTTTCCTATAGTATACTGACTCTTTTTTTGCTTTCTTCCTGTAGTTTCAGTAATTAAATTTGAGGGCAGTTTATTTGGAATACCCTGAGTATAATACTGGGTATCTGTCATGTATTTTTATCATTCAACATTTTTTTTTTTTTAAGATTTATGCATACAAGAGCTGGGGTGCAGGCCAAGGCACAGGAGTGAGAGGATTCACCAGAGACAGAGTGGGAAACAGAGCAGGCAGATTGACCAAAGTACACTGCTGAGGGGTGCAGCGGGCAAGTCTGGAGAGGTCTGCGTCATGTGGGTTGCTCCCTAGCTGGCCAGGAATCCAACTCTTGGGTTGCAGTGTCTGCGGACAGCTTCATAGGTTGCATCTTAAACCTTGTGCCACCGGGGAGGCCCCTATCATTTAACATTTTGAAAGAATTTAATTTGCTGGGCTGAATGCTAAGTGAATGATGCTAAAAACGTGAAATTAGTGAAAAATTAGGGTTATAGTTTATGATATGAGAATGTTCAATGTATAGGAAGGTGGTTAACTGGCCCTTTTTTCAGAAGGTATAAATTGTGAGTATTCATGTCAGTCTGATGACACAGTGGCAGTTAATAATTTTTAATAGGTCTGACATTCCAGGTTAGTTACTGAAATAATGTTCTTTTCCAGATTACAGTAAGGTCGGTTTGCTCCAAGCAGTGTTAGGCTGCTTAAGAACATTTTCTCAAGTATTTTTGGAATGGTTCTGGAGGTAAAAAACTTGGCAACTGAGAATAGTACCAGTGTGGAACTATCCCAAGCTAAGTCTCTTCTCTCTAGTTTTATTTCTGGGGTTATCTGTCCTAAGGTGGCTTTTAAAAAAAAAAATCTGTTCTTTTGATTTATTCCCTATCTGATGAGAGAGTCTCAACATTTCTAGTAGAGAAGAAGGTCACAGTTCTCTAATGCGAGTTACATGACGGGTAAAAGGCACATTATCCTTTGCCCTGGTGAAAATAGAGGTTCCAGGCAATGATTCAGGTGATTGGTCCTACATTTCACAAAGTACATGCAATGATTAACAGTTAAGGTATGTGTCTGAAGAAATCTCACTGTGATGTTTGGAAAACAACACTGTCATACGTGGTGTGTTAGACCCTTTGAGGGAGAAGCCAGAAAAACTACTTTTGCAAGTATATTCAGATTTTCTCCACATTTCTTGACAGTTTCTTTAGTAGGCTTGCATCAGTTTGTGTTGAAATACTGTAACCAAATTACAACAGGGTTCTGAGCAAAAGGGTATAATAATGTTTGTTAAAACAAACACAGGTTAAGGTGAGAGGAAAAATCAAGTCCATGAAAAAGCCATTTAGCATTTTCCCTTGTTAAGAACATTGGCCCAAAGATCTTACTAAGCTGTTTGTGCTATGATATTGTAACCTGTGTGCTGTAAGGAAAATGAACATTTTAATTAGTTTGCCTAGTAGACATTTCACTTAAGCCCTTTGAAAGGCATTGATAGGTAAACCCATAATTGTGGTTCCCCAAGTTTTGAGGTTCGGTTAGTAGCTGTTGAATAGCACCAAGGTGATATTCCCATTTCTATATATACACCCTTAATACCACATATGTGCGCTACATATACACACATGCATTTTAACTTATGTGAGGCTAGAATATACTAAGGTTTTAGACTGTAAAACAGGGTAATTGTGTCTGGAAGCATCTGCGACCAGAGGGCAGAACAGATGGGTAGAGTAGACCAGTCCCAAGTAGAAAAAGTTTTGAGTGTGGCCTTTGTATGTGAGCACTGAATTTGATTTGGTTCAAGTAAAATCATGTATATGTTAAGATGAGATATAATGGGATCGGCTGGCTTCACCTCTGCCTATGTAGATTGACGTACAAATAATTCACCATAGTTTTCTGTTAAAAATCTTATATAGGTTTGGTTTTCCTCTTAGCAAGTTTTTATTTGCAGCATCTTATACCTTACTCCTATCCCCAGAATTAATCAGACAAAAATTCCTTAACTGAGAAGAGTAGTGGAAGACTAGATAAATTGCAAACTAATGGGTCCAAGGCATGATGAACATTTCTGAGACTATCTGTAGAACCTACTAGCTACAACAATTTTGACAGGTAACACGCAAAGCATAGTTTGACTTCCTTGTGGGTCTAGTCTTCGGTTTTAAATATTTACAACCCTAGTAGGAGACCAAGACCTCTGAAATGGGTTACTGGTCTATAAATAGATGGGTTGAGAGCACAACTAGTGCCATCTACTGGGAGATTACAGTCCTGTACTTGGGAGTCTGGCTGAATGTGTGGGACAGTGCTCCATTATTGCATTGGAGTATTTTTACCTGATGGGCTTAAGCATGATAGGGAATTTAGCTGTAGGAATAAGCAGCACTGTGACATCAAAAGTAACGACCCCAAAGCTACAGAAAATGGGTAAAAGCCTGCCAATTTTGTATTTAGCAATGGCGGAATGGGTAATCAAACTTTGGTGGTGGCTTTACGGTAATAATAGTTGGAAGAAAAACATGACCGCAGCCCTTACAGCTTTTACTCCCTTATTGGTGGTACTTGGTAAAGTCCTAGCCAAATGCTGTTTTTGTAGTTACGTGAGGTTTGCTGAATGTAACCTAAATGTCAGGGACAGTATGCTCTGGTGAAAAGATTTGAAGCTGAAGTGATCTTGGTTTGAGTTCCAGATCCAGTGTTTATTGGCCTATGACAATGAGCCCTGTTTTAAAATAAGGATAATGTACTCAAAAAACTACGAGGACTAAATGAGCCAATGTATGCAAAGTATGTCCCTACTGCGCTCAACAAATGTTAAATCTCGTGAGGAGCAACGGAAATGCAAGGCAAATACGGTCTTTTTTCCATGCCATTATTAGAAACCAGTCATATCATCTATAATTTTAAAAATGTATTATGCAACATACAAGTTAGGTGTTTTTTTGTTTGTTTGTTTGTTTTTTAAGCCATCATGCTTTTATAGTCTCGGTGCAGAAAAATAGAATGCCCATTTATGGTGACAGCCTGTAGGGTTGAGACCTTATCACAAAAATCTGCCTGGAAGACGAGTATCCTGATATTTTTCCATTCACCTTTGACCAGAGGGTGAGGGAGTAGTTAAGAAAGTGCAGAGAGATAGGGAGAACATGGTGAGCCAGAGTTTGTGCCAGAGAGGTTAGTGGCCAAGGGGAAGGCCTAGGCTACACTGGAGGGAATGCTGCACCCCCAGTGGCAGCCTTTGGGATTGCTGTGTGCCCAGATGCAGAGAAGTTGCTGATAAAGCACTGGGTAACATTTCTCAGTGTTTTAATTAGGAAGGAATTCAAGCATACAACGATGTTGAATTTTAGTGTAAATACCTGTGTACTCAGTACCTGGATTTTTACCTTTAACATCTGACTGTAATTGTTTTATCACATCATTCCATTCATTAATGGAATTAAATCCATTTCAAGTAAACTGCAGCCATAAGCACTAAGTACATAGCTGTTTCAGCATGCCTATTCACATGCAAAATTTACAAAGAAAGGAATATTAATGCTCAGTCTCAAACACCTGTTAAGATATGAAACAATGTCATTACTCCAGAAATACCCCTCAGTCTCCCTCACCATGACCCCAGTGGCAGTAACTCTTCTCATATTTTAAAAACCTTTTTTAGCTTAACTGAAAGGAAAAGTATATACGCCAAGGTCATCTCTATATCTCACTGAGTTATGTCACGCCAAAGCCATGCTAGAGCACGCCCCCAGTGGAGCCTCGTTACACAAATTACAAATGTAATTTTAAGGCCTTGGTTTTTATTCTGACTACTTGTTTTAGTTTATCATCAGCTCTACATTAAATTTTTTCCCCCTCAAGATTTATACCTGGTAGGCTAGCCCCCTAGGGCAGAAACTGCTAGAGTGAAGACCGGCTGAGTAAGAACAATTGCTTTTCTAGGACTGTGGCTGGAGGAGTTGGCAATGGGCTTGTACCACTGCTTCAGCTTCTTTAGGTGAAGAGCGGGGGAGCTTCTGGCAGGAAGTCCTCTGAGCTGGGAGTACAAGAAGTAGAAGGGATACACTGGAACTTGAGAGTTTTCAGGACTGCTGTTCAGCTATTCAAGTTTTGATTCTGAAACTGATTATTTAAAAAGATTTATGCATACAAGAACTGGGGTGTAACCTAGAGATGTGAGGGGTGAGAGGATTCACCAGAGAGATTGGGGAGCAGAACAGGCAGATGTACTGAAATACACTGGTGAGGGGAGTAGCAGGCAAGGCAGGAGAAGTCTGCTGTGCCATGTGGGTTGCTCCCTGGCCACCCTGGATCGAACTTGTGCTGCAGTGGCTGGCAATAGCTTGATAGCGCTGCCTTTAACCCCTGTGCCACCAGGGAGGCCCTAAAACTGATTTTCTTAAGGTACAAACTAACTTTCAGTGTCATTTACTCTTCAGGGTTTTGTCTTTTCCTATAGGTAGGGATTTGGAATTGGCATGCTCAGTGTATAAGTTCCTTCCAGGCAAAGAGACCCTACCACTCATTTTACAGGAAAACGTCCCTAAATGAAACAGACTAAAGAAAATACAATTGTGTGGGGCCTCCCTGGTGGCTCAGCAGGTTGAGCACAGCACTGTGAAGCTGTCCGCAGCTTCTGCAGTGCAGGTTTGATTCACGGCCAGCCAGGGAGATACCCACATGGCGTGGCAGACCTCTCCTGTTTCTCCTGCTGCTCCCCTCAGCAGTGCTTTCTGTCTATCTGCCTGTTCTGCTCCCTGCTCTGTCTCTGGTGAATCTTCTCACCCTACCGTGCCTCTGGGCTGTACCCCAGCTATTGTATAAATAAAATCTTTTTAAAAAAAAAGAAAATACAATTGTGTGTTCTTAGCCAGTGCATGCACACGTATACACAGTCATTGCCAACAAAGCCATTTCTGCATTAAGTTCCACATTAACCTTTTTGATTTTTTCCTCCTTTCCTTCCAATTTGGTGCTTATATGACCTCTGCGCCACTATAATAAGCTACCCATAATTTAATGAGCACTTACTAGGTGCCAATACTATGCTACATTATCTCATTCTAAACCCTGCTAGGGAGATTTTGTCATTTTATAGAATAATATCTAGGATTGAGTAATTTGAGATCACCCAACCAGGAGATGACAACCTTTCTCACACCAAAGCTTGCACTATTGAGGAGTTTGGACACCCAGGTTCCTGCCAACTCATGAGCCAGTGCTAGTTGAGTTACCTTTAAGACAGTAGGTTCAGCTAGGCAGAGAGGAAGATGGAGAACAGAAATAAAGAAATGGACATTCATTTTTTTTTACCTGGGATTAGTTATACTCTAGATGTGATAAAAGCCAATAGTTAAATTTACACTACAATAAAAATGGTATGTTGATGGAGAAAATGGATAATTGGATACCCTCCCCATATGCACATATTAGACATGAGTAAATTCCCCCATCACTTAGAAATGAAAACTTTTCTAACAATGGCTAAAAAACAAGAAACATTAAATGATTGACAAATTTGACCACACTTTTGTGGTTAAATTATAAAAATCTGGAAAAAATATTTGTAATTTATATCACTGTCAGAGGGCTAATATTCCTAATATATTAGCATGGAGCTTGTAAAAATAGAGAAGACCAATCAAAAATGTCAAGATATACAAGCAATTCATAGGAAAAAAAACAACCTCAAATGTCTCTTAAGCATATGAAATAAGCATCCCTCATAATGAGAGATGCAAATTAGAATGCCATCAAAATACCATTAATCATTTTAGATTGACAAAAATAAAGTTTGAAAATGTTCTCTATTGGTGACACTGAAAAGAGAGGAACTTTCATAGTTGGAGGGAATGCAAATTGTCTAATGGAGTGGGAGGGGTAGATTTGACAATTTCACATTTGGATTTTCCCCATGACCCAACAATCCTGCCTCTAGGGATGATCTGTGGCAGTTTGCAAACAGCTGCTAGACTCCCCCTGTCTGTGAACATGTCTTTGGGTAGTCCTGCATCCAGTGACTGGGCTGTTTCTGCTGCCTAAGTGCAAGCAGAAGACTGAAAAGCACTTGCATGGGGGCTAGCACACCCTTGATGTGCTTAGAACCCTCATTGTGCAAGGAGAACACGTTGAGTGATAGCCAGTGCGCTGGAGGGTGAATGGCCACTTGAGGCACCTTGGCTGACAACCTGCCAACCTCCTCACACGTGAGTGAGAGTATCTTGGACTATTCAGCTCCAGCTGAGTTGCTAGATGACTTTAGTCATGTGAGTGAGAACAGCAGAAGGAAGGACAGTGCTGAGCTCTGCCAAAATTGCTGATCTACAGAATCCTGAGCTTATAAATAGTGCTGCTTTATGCCACACAGCTTTGAGACAGTGCGCTATATATACAGAAAGAGCTAACTGATACAATACTAAAGACACCCTGGCAACAATATGAGTAGACATGTTCACTGAGGCATTGCCTATAATAGCAAAAGACTGGAAACAACTCAGATGTCCACCAATTCAGGAATGGTTGAATACACTACAGGGCAACCACTCAGTGGAATACCAAGCAGCTGCAAGGAATCTATAGGTTTATGAAGTGATTTTTAGGATCTATTGTTAAGTGACAAAAGTGAGGTAAAGGATAATATGCATAGTAAACTGCCTTTTATTTAAGAAGGTGGGATAATATATAGTTTATGCTTTATTTTTAAGATAGAATTCAAAAACTGACTTCTAGAAAAAGGAAGGGGATGTGGTAGAAGCTAGACTTCCCTGAATATACCTTTCTTTTGTAGCTATAATTTTAAAATTGTGGAAATGTTTTACATATAAGCATATGCTTATAAAGTTAAGATTAAAATATTTCTTTTTTTTTTTTTAAGATTTATTTATTTATTTACACAAGCACTGGGTACAGTCAGAAGCGCAGGAGGGTGAGAGAATTCACCGGAGTCAGAGTGGAGAGCAGAGTAGGCAGAGTGATGAAGTACACTGCTGAGGGGAGCAGCGAGCAGCAGGAGAGGTCTGCGCGCCATGTGGGATCCTCACCCCGTGGCTGGGGATTGAACTGGTGCTGCAGAGGCTGCGGGCAGCTTTGCAACCCAGCGCCCAACTGCTGTGCCACCGGGGAGGCCCAAAATTAAAATATTTCTATATCCAAAGCAAAAGCAAGATGATATAAATAAAAATTCTGTTGGTGGCTTACCCCACAGAGAATTATTTCAAGTATTTAAAAAACACATTTGTACGTTTAATATACCCTGTGGTAAAGTGAGTTAGGAAGAAATATTAATGTTGTTTTTCGGGATCTATTTTATATATTTGTATTTCAGGGCAAACAAAGTACACCATTTTGTGAAGAGCATTAAGAAGCAAGAGAAGATACACAAATGTAAAATCAAAGATGGTAAGTAAAATTATGAATTATAATTATAATTACAAATTTAAAATAGAAATATGGAAAAACACTATAAGTCACAATGTATTTCCTTTATAAAAAGTGCCATCTTCTAAAATCATTTTATAGGAATTGGTGAGAAACTTCTAAATAGCTCTAGTTAACAATTCAGGAGCCCACTCCCCACCTCATCAGTCACAAAAATATAGGCAACCAGACATTATGCACATCCTGCTAAGAAGATTAAAAAGTACTAAAAGTAGCCTGAGTCCACTAGGGTCTCTAGATGTAACTACTAGTTTATGAGGTGCAGTGTAGAAAGGACCAAGATACATATCACCATGGGAAATGCGAGCCCCATCAACCCCAATTCTTCCACAAATTCTATATAAGGAAAAGGAAAGAGAAGGTGGGTGTGGAAGAGACTTAAGAGAAACATCAATCAAATTCAATCTGTAGACTATATTTAAATTTTGATTGAAAAAGAAACTGTATAAAAGCAATTATTAGACATTTGAGGAAATAAGCACAGTGAGTAGACACTGATGACATGGACTTGTTTTTTTTTTTAGGCGATATGACTTTGTGGTCATGTTAAAGAGTCCTTATTTTTTTATTTTTTTTTTTAAAGATTTTATTTATTTATACAAGCACTGGGTACAGTCAGAAGCGCGGGAAGGTGAGAGAATTCACCAGAGCCAGAGCGGGGAACAGAACAGGCAAACTGACGAAGTACACTGCTGAGAGGAGCAGCAGGCAGCAGGAGAGGTCTGTGCACCATGTGGGACCCTCGCTGGCAGCCAGGGATCAAATGGGCGCTGCAGAGGCTCAAACGCTGTGCCACTGGGGAGGACCGAATCCTTATATTTTTGAGTTACACTCTACTTTAAAGAAAGTCGAATATAAAGAATTGTTAATTAATCATAGGAGATGAACTTCAAAGGGGTAAAGCAAACATTGCAGAACAGAGCCAAGAGCAGATACAAGGAGTAACTACTCCTTCCCAGGCTGAGACAGAACCCCCAAGAAGGAACAGGTCTAAGGTAGCCCTCACCAACCTTTCCTAGTGATGTGACCCAGATCTTAGAGAAGTTGACTGTGTGGCCTGCTGGATGGCAGAGGGTTTCAATGAGGTGGCCCCAATGGGGGATGGTGCTGAGTCCATGGGAACATAATGACTGGGTACCTGGGAGACTTATTGGGAGGCTGACTGAGGTGCCAGCAGAAATCACTGCTTATCACCAACTTGGGTGCTGCCGGGACCTGCTTGAAGGAGAGCACTGTTGGGCCTCATGAGCTGGAGGCTCTCAAATGCAAGAAGCAGCTGGTCACAGTGGGCCTTGGAAAAGATACCCCTTCCTCTTCCAAGTGTCCCTCTGGTGCCCTCTACTGACCGTGTTTAGCATCGTGGGGACTGGCAAAAGAAATATTTATAGGGACCAACTCCAGTATCACACACTAGAGCAAAGAAGGGTAGATTTGCAGCTGAGCATTAAATTGATAACTAGAATAAATATTGAAGTACTTATAGATGATAATAGGATGTCTGTGATTTGTTTCAGAATAATCCTGTGGGCAAGGGTATAGATGAAACAAGGTTATTCGAAAGTTGGTAATAGTTGACTATGGAACTGGTATATAAGGCACTATTCTATTTTTTAATTTACGCTTATATGCATTTATCTCATAGATATTGCTCATACACATAAGATAAACATATAATGCACCTTATGTATGTATAAATGTTGCCTACTCATTGTCATTATAAAAATGCTTTAAAAAATGTGAATTTACACATTATCCCTAGGAAACTGAAACTTTATATTTTAATCTAGGATTCTAGAACTTACCAGAATTTGGGTAAAACCAGGAGTTAACCTTAAACAATTTTTTTATAATAAATTTTATTTTTATATTCCCATACAATTGCAACCCCCTTATTTTGACCCCAATCCCTCCCCTCCCGCCTTCTACCCCCCAAAGAGTGTCTCTGGTTCATAGTTTTTTGTTGATTTTAATTTTCACTTTCTTATAGTTATTCATTTTCCTAGTCCCTTATTTAAGTTTTCTAGATTCCTGCTATGAGTGAGACCATCCGGTATTTTTCTGTTTCTTTCTGGCTTATTTCGCTGAGCAGGATCCCTTCCAGCGCCATCCATGTTGCTGCAAATTGCATGTGTTTATCTTTTTTGAATGCTGAGTAATATTCCATGGTATATATGTACCACATCTTCTTGATCCAGTCATCTATTTTTGGGCATTTGGGCTGTTTCCAAAGCTTAGCTATTGTAAATAGTGCTGCTATAAACATAGGGGTGCGGGTGCTCTTTGGAATTGATGTTTCTGTGTCCTTGGGGTAAATACCTAGGAGTGGAATTGCTGGATCATATGGAAGCTCTATGTTTAGTAGGTGCAGAAATCTCCACACAGCTCTCCATAGCGGTTGGACCAGTTTGCACTCCCACCAACAGTGCAGAAGAGTTCCTTTTTCTCCACACCCTCACCAACATTTTTTGTTGCTAGTTTTTTTTAATATGTGCCATTCTCACTGGTGTGAGATGGTATCTCATGGTAGTTTTGATTTGCATTTCCCTGATTACAAGTGATGTTGAACATTTTTTCATATGCCTGTTGTCCATTTTCATTTCTTCTTCAGAGAAGTTTCTTTTTAGCTCTTCTGCCCATTTTTTGACTGGATTATTTTCTTTGTTGTTGTTGAGTCTCATCAGCTCTTTGCAGATTTTTGTGATCAGTCCTTTATCATTAGTGTTGTGTGCAAAAATGTTCTCCCAGTTTAACCTTAAACAATTTGAATATGCCCTCACCCTGAATTAAAAACTGTCACTCTGATTATGGCAGAGAAAGGGATTTTCCTTCTGTTGAAAAGTTAGGCGCTAGGGGTAGGAGGCTAACATGGATACAAATATGTTCTTAATATTGAAATGGCCAAAAAAATTGCATTAAGTGAGTTAATGCAGGCCAAGCACTTTAAATAGTGCCTAGGATATTCTAAGCTCTGTGTGGGTTTTTTTTGGTTATTATTTTATGTTAATAATTTCCCCATCATCAATCAACATGAAATAGGCCAGACTGCTGACAAGGCCCACTCCTACCCTCTGTAGTAGTCATTGAGACTTCATATTACTCAGGAATTCAGACCTTGGACCCTTGAAGGAGTGAGCTGAATAGTAGCTGAGAATGTCCTCTGTTTCCCTGTTTCTTGTCTTCTAGGGGAGAGACTGTGGAAGATTTAGCTGCCTTAGCAATGCAACAGTAATAGAGACACTGTCAGCAGCACCAGGGCCAGAAAAATGACAACTGCAAAGGTGCTGGCATTAACCAACATGGCCAGAAGAGTCTGCAAGCATCAAGAGTCCGGTCAGTGGGACTCGGAGGAGCTCAGGGCCCACCAGGCACTTTGGCTCCCATGTAAGTGCCTGCAGGGGCACCAGGAAGTAGATGAAAGGTGGGGT